CATAAGAACGCCTGTGGTTTCATTCAGAGTTCATGCTAATAATCTAGGATAATCTCCCTATCTCAAGATCAACATCTGCAAAGTCTTTTTTCTTTCTACATTAGATGTCATCCGTGTGCAATTAGGATGTAATGGCCCCCAAAGAGAAGGAACGTGTCTCCATGAAACATGCAGGTGATGTTACAGTGGAGGTGGAGTGAAGGGAGAAGCAGGATTTCTAGAATGAACTTGGAGCTGCTGGCTTGGGTTTTTGAGTAGCGCTAGTGCCATTTACTGAGATTGGGAAGAATAAGGAGGGTCAGGCTGGGGCTGAGTAAGAAGAAGATAAATATAAAAATTCTCCGGTGGACTTGTTAAGGTTGAGATGCTTATAGAAATAACTAATGAAGTGTTTAAAAAGCAGATAATTATAAGAAACCTGGGTTTGCCAGAAAATCAGAACAGAGATAAACTTGGAAACTGTTGAATACAAGGCTATTTCTCCTCAACAAACAATTATTGTTTAACAATTTAGTTAACAAACAACAGTTGTGTTTAAAGTCATTGCACTGATGGAGGCCGAATAGGGAGAGGCCCAAGGATTGAGTTGAGATGGGCCAGTGCTAAATGATAAAAAGAAGAGGAAAGTCAAGTGTTAAGAGTCTAAGACAGACCAAAGGACTAATGGACCTCGTGAACTTCACTTCCTTGGCCCTGAAATCAGAAGGCTGGGGGTACCTGGTTACTACCATTGACCACTTTAAAAGGAATCACAGTAGAAGATCCTGGAGAGAGGGGGAAGAACTATAGATAGAAAATAAATATAGAAAGATAGAGGGGAACAAAACAAAAGCATAAAAGGCCAGGCTTACTGATCCAGTAGAGACTGGTGGGATCCTCAAGTTTATGGCCCTTTGAACATGAAACAAAAATCACCTGTATGGTTCCACTTTCAACCAAGCAACAGACAGACCTGTAAGATGAGCAGGAAGCCCAGGGAGACACCCACTCCTTGGAATAACTAACCACATAAAGTCAAAAGGGAGGCATTTGCCCAAGGATAAGACCCTGAAAGCAAGAAAGGATTAGGTTAGGATAGAAAGATTAATAGAAATGAGAATTACTGGGATGAAGTATGAATACATTGTGGGTCTTGTATGTATTTTGCTATAAAACAAAATGTCCATGAATGGTTAAATGAAACGCCGGTTTACTTTATAATCCTTCCTTCAAATCACAGGTTTGGGGTGGAGGGGGAAGAATCTGAATTGAGTGATCTGCAAGGTAAAAGGGAGGCCCAAAGGGCCTGCAGTCACGTGGGAAACGTACCTGTCAAATCATTTAGAAAGTTGAGAAGGTTGAAGATAGAAGAATTCATCATTGGCTTTGGCCTGTGGAGGCCTGGTTTTGGTGTTGAATGTTGGGAAGATTGGAATGTGTTCAAGAGAAACAAAATAAGAGGGAGTGAGACAATGAGTCCAAAGTTTAACTAAAAGGGGAACAGAGAAATGGGTCAGTATGGGAAAGAAATATAGTCAAATAAAGAGAGAGTTTTGGGAGTAGGAGTGGAATCCACTTCCTAAACAATTTGCCTCTGGAAATCTATGAACTTTGATAAATAATGGTTGTAGAGGGGCTTCAGACCTTTTGTTCATAGGGTTGCTATGAACTGTGCTGTACTCAAAGGTAGTCAACAACAACAACACAAAGAGTTAGTACAGTCCATGGGTGCTCAGAAGTGCCACTGTCAGACACTTAGGTTATTATTATCATTATTATGTTGCTGTTACAGTGTTGTTTGAATGAAGGTCCCATCATGGTCTTGTTATTGAAAAGAAATGCCCTTGACCTAGCTGTGTGTTTTGTCAACATGACATCCTGCCAATCTGTGTGTTGGTTCAACATTTCTTTTTTGTTGAAAGATGTCCAGCTATGATAGTGTTCACTTGAGGGTTTTTTTGTCCAACACCCTCAGTCCCCTTCACTTTAAAGACACCACAGGCTGCTGGACTCATTCCCTTCTTGACCACCCTCCCCTGCGTCCGCCCCATGGACCCCTCCCTGTGGGATTTGCTCGCCAGGAAGATGGGGCTGAACCCAGTCAGTCAACATCTTCATTCTCCAGAACACTTCATGAGCTGGGGACAGGAAGGATCCCACAAGACCTTGACCATCCAAAGCTCGGGCCCTGAGCCTGTTTCCTTCCTCTTACACAGCAGGATTGCTGTCCTGTGTTGGCCTGCCCTGAGGACAGCGGCTAGAATCCTTGAGGGCCTGTGAGCAGAGGGCCAAATGCTCTGTAATCAGAAACCAGGGCCAGCTGGACTGAGCTGGACATCTGGGCTACAGGTTCCCCCCAAAACATCTGTAAGCTTGTGGAAGGTAGAGAGTCTCAACTGCTGTGGGTGTTTCTGAGACACCCTCATCATCGGCCTTGGGTGGTCCACAGGCCTGGAAGTCTGAGCAGGTCTTGAGGAAAACATCTTCGTATAGGAAGTCTTCCTGAGAAGGAACATACGCACTTGAAATGTACTGAAATGCACGATATGTACTTAGACACATAATGACCTATGTGTGCACATGTGGTTACACTGTGCTACTCATATGTATGAGTGTGTATTAATAAGCACACTCATACATATAGATGATGTGTGTAATATATTGAGTAGTGGTGCTGGAGAAGAGTATTGAACACACCATGGACTTCCAAGAGAACAAACAAGTCTATCTTGGAGAGGTTGAAACTAGGTTTCTCCTTGGAGGCAAGGATTTTTAAACTGTTTCATATATAACCGACTCCAGTCCTTGGAGAAGGGCATTAATCCTGGAGGGGTGAAGGGTCAGGGCAGAAGAGGAAGACCCTGAATGAGATGAATTGGCACAGTGACTGGGGCAGTGGGGCCAGGTGGCCAGAGATGGTGAGATTTATCTTACATAGGGCAGGGTTCAGAGCTGTTGTTCACAGGGTGCTGTGAGTCATAGTCGACTTGACGGCACATAACAACAGCGTTAATGAACTCTTACTGTCATATCTAGACACACACACAGAGGCTCGATAACGTATATGTGTGTGTGTGTGTGT